TGTGTGTGTGTGTGTGTGGCCAATGAGGGGACCCTGGTTTAAAAATAAGGAAGCGAGTAAAGACGGGAAATCGAAACAATAACACACGTGTGTTGTATGTTGTCAGTAGTTACGCTGACATGTGAGAGCGCAGTGTTTGGCTGTGTTGACTCCCTCACCTGGCGACACCGAGTTCATGCTGTGTGCAAAACAATGAGCAGGCCTGCAACTAATAATTCATTCATCTACCCATTACTCTTAACTCTAAATTGTGAATTGACTGTAAAATGGCAAGTTGACGTCTTCAAATTGCTAATTATAGAATCATTTTACTGTCGTAGAAAACAGAGAAAAGCAGAAAATCCTCACATTCAAGAAGCTGGAATAAGATTTATTTGGTAACTTTTGTTTGGAAAAATGACGCAGACTATGAATTTATTGTCAAAACTGTCAATTTATCAGTTGTTTCAGCAGTAAATTGATTTATTCACATTTAACATTTTCCAGGACCTTTCCAGGACATTTTCCAGGAGTTTTTCTTTCAACTGTAACAATAATTTGCCCACAGCTCTGGCTAAAAGACAATTCCAATTTTTTCCAGGGCAAAGTGGATCATCTCCAGGATATTTGGTCATTTTAATCAATTTCCAGGGGCCTCCATGACTAGACAAACTGGTCTCTAAATTTCCAGGTTTTCCAGGAGGCATGGGAAGCCTGTAAGTGATACAGAGTCCTGGACGTTAATATTATAACTCATAAAAGCCTCCATGATAATGTGTTACAGGAAACCCTGCTAGTGCTGATAGTCAAGGGCGGTAGGTGAAGTAAAGGAGTAAATAAATGCTGCATCAGCTCCTTCAGACCATTAGTCCTCTGTGTGTGTGTGTGTGTGTGTGTGTGTGTGTGTGTGCCCTTCACACCAGCCTATAAACCAATCAGCTGTTTAAAGCATCCCGGAGCAGAGGGTTATTTTTAGCCGGGTGGCTACAGCTGACTGTTCCAGAGAACTGCTGCTCAGGCTGATTGCTTCACAGAGCTAACAGCAGGCTAACCGCGGCTCACTAGTCAGACGGCAACCTTCAACAACCAGCGTGACTCTGATACAGCGGCAAGGTTGGCTGCTTCACATTTTATACCCAAACAATGCCAAAAAGAGCTAAAAAAAGGTTCCTCTGTCCTCCTCCCTCTGCTGCTGTCTCTGTTTATTCACTGCAGGTACAGGAGCACTTTGTTTAGTTTTAGCTTTAAATAATCTTTCCTTCTTCGTCCAGCTTCCAGAAAATGTGATAGGAGTGTGTGTAGGAGCTGAGCCCCGCCCTCGGTAGCGGTAGCGCCACCACAGAGCTGCAGGATTCATTTCTACAGTCATGTTTAAGGTGGCGGGTTCAGGCGTGCATGGGCTCTGAAAATGCTCCTTCTCACATCACGTTTCATAAAATCGAATGTTTCAAATATTGCTGAGAAACAAACACACGGCAGAGAAAACCTCCTCGGCTGAGGTGAGAAGTGACGACTAACGGAAGTGAACAAGAGAAAAAAACAAACAAACTCCAAACACAGCAACTGTAAATAAAACCACATGTTGAAGAGTCTTTAAACGTACTACAGGAAGTCTTTAACTGCTTATGAACGCCTCTGTGTGACCTACATAACCTTAATGCCTGCCACCAGGTCGGATTCCCCTTGAACTCAATGAAATAAGGCGTTAGAAGTGTCCACAGGGGCCGTAGATGTACGCAGAGGACGGACAGCCGAAACGTAACAAACAGAAACGCTCGTTTATATCCGCTGCACAAAGCAACCGGACTGTGGGTTGATTATAATAATAATATGATGGGTTGGGATAATAAACGCACCAACAACACGCAGCTCAGGACGGTACAGTCAAAAGAAAGCAGGGTTCCCCCACTCTCTTTACAGGAGGTTTAACTTAGGACAGCACTCTAACAGTAACAGTAACCCCTAAGTTACAGTTCAAATTAAGTAGAATTGACTTTATTTTACATTAAATTCATCTTCCCCCCTATTGGTGCACTAAAATAAGAAGTAGAAAGTGTTTGTTGGACATTTCTGAGTGTATTTTTTAATCACAACAAGATATTTTTCACTGGGCTCTCTGCTCGCAGCTGCAGAGAAAATAAACTCAATGCCGAAAAGTTTGCTTCACGTCCAGTAAACCCGCTCTGAAGTGTCGAACCGCAGGTTCTCCCAACAACTGTCGAGTTTCAAACTAAATACTAATGCGATCTGAGTGAGGGGATAAAATGAAATGAAAGTTTTCCAGGACAACATTGATTATTTCCAGGATATTTTAATCAATTTCCAAGCAGCGCGTGGAAACCCAGAGAAAGGTGTGTGTGCGTTCGTACCGTCAGGGGGTTGTGGTTGTTGTTACGAAGCCGCGGCAAGGCGACAGGCGACGTCGTCTGAGAGCCACTGTGACCAGGAGAGTAGACCGGCTCGCCCACTTTGCCTGAAAATAACCACAGAGAGAGAGAGAGAGAG